AAGCAATGACGAATGTCGTTTGTCAGCAAACAAGAGATCGGATAAACCTTTTATTAGGGTGAATCGAAATTAGCAAGAAGCAAAAATAGTGTACACTGCAACCAAAACGATCTGACATGTATACTGCGAAGAAATATACGTATACGTACGTTATTGTCGTGCGGTGGCACGAACGTTTTAACTTATCCGAATGTGATATATGTATTGTTCCATGCACTGAACGAACTTATCAAACCTCGAAGAAACGAACAAACGCACGTTCAAAAGTAATGGTAACGCGTTGTCAAAATCTTGGCGATCGTTACGGCGTTCGATACTTTACTCTCAGTAGATCAATTGTTTTTCGCAATTCGCACCTCCGAGATGCAATAAACGGTAAGATTCGTGACGAACGAAGGAACGAATGCGAATGTGAACCGCACGCAAGAAACAGTTGCTCGCATATGCCAACGTAGTCCAGCAGTCCAGCAGGCATGGAGAAGGAGAGACATGCCGTAAGAGCAAGGGGAACGCGCGGAGCCACGCCGAATGCAACGTGACAGCGTCTCCGCGTACCTTGCAATTGGCCAACCGAATCACGTGGTTTCTTGGTCACGTTGCACCCGTCGTGGTTCTATACGCCTCTTCTATCTACGTGTATACATATATATATATATATATATATATTTCTTTTCTTCGTTTGCTTCGGCATGTTACTCCCTTCTCTATAAACATCGTGAACAGGTAGACACGTACCGCTTAATCGATGTTACTACTTACCGCAGCGACTAAAGCTATTTGCGGAGAAGGCACATTGTCCTGTTGCTACTTCGCGCCACCGTGTTTCAACGTGCAACAAAACAGAATGAGTACTCGGAACTACATAATTTTTGTTTACCGTTATTCATCGATCTGATCTCAAATTCAAACACGATTGAAGCATCTTACTAATGCACGCGGCACTCACAAAACAACTGCAAAATACTTTACGAAAATCATTCTAATTGTAAGAGAAGTCATCGGTTTGCTAGTCACCGTAGAAATTCATTGAATTTCGAAGATCTCGTACACTAATTGTAAGACGCTAGGATATTTACTTTTATGATACCCTTGACCGAATTGTCACGCGCATACGCGTGTTTATATTATCTTTTCAGTATACATTACACTGTAGAACCAATGTAACGCGATGCAGCTGACTCAGCAACTCTCGACATTCATACATCGGTAAATTCTACGCTGGCTAGATTCTACGAATAAACATTCGTAAACTCTGCTTTTATGTTGTAAATCTCGATTTCGACCTCGGTTCCGTTTAACTTAACTCGAACACTAACATATCGACATCGTCTTGTTAGCCGATGTAAAAATCTACTCGAGAAATCCAACAAGAAATCGGACAAGTGTCAAGTGCGCGTGTGAATAGAAACGCTTTGTAGAATAATTACATCTGTTTATTTGTATTGATACATAAAAGATATTCAGGAAGAATAATAGTACAACAAAGTACTTGTCGATTGCTTTCTTCCCGTTACTTTCGATATACGCTATTTCTATTTGCAGCTCGTACAATATAAAAATGACTTCAAAAATCCATATTATTTACCATGTTACATTATTCTGTCTCTCTGTTCGTTTCTTTCTTTTCTTCTTCTCTTTCATTCTCAAGTCTGGATTATACATTGTACATCTCGCTATTTCCTATTTTTTACCGATACATATTGTTCGACGTTATCCGTGTAGTAATGTAGTTAGTCTATATCTGTAGATATTTTCTTTATACATTCGTAAATCTTATAGTTTATTTTTACTCTGATTTTAGTACTCGTTTTTTTTCTTTTTTCTTT